TCCCCACCCTGGCACAGGGTGACACAGCTCCCCCAGCACCCTGTGCTCCACCACCCACCTGGGGGGGCTTCACACCTTGGTTTTACTGCACAGACAAGTCACAGCAAAAAATAAAGTGATTTTTCTACACACTAGGCAATTCCCCCACATTTTATTCCAACAATACATAAATTATTTTGTAAACACATCAGATCTGCTGACCAATGGGATCCAGTCCAGTCCTCAGGTCCTGTTTGGTTGAACTGATTCTCCAACAAACTCCAGGCACAGTTTGCCATTTTGTTCGTTCTGCAGATTATTCACAAATTATTCAGTATTTTCAATACTAAATTAATTTAATTTAAATTAATTAATTTACTAAATACTAAAATTATTCAGTATTTTCAATTATTCAAGAATCATAGCCCAGAACGTACCAAGAACATACTAGAGATACTCAGGAACACAAAACTAACGACTCACAGCATCGTGTGCTTGTCATAAAAAATGAGATTTTACCTCACCTTAATCATGTTACAATTGCATTTCAAACATACATAAAATTCACTTCTTTAAGTAAAAAAATCAGATATAAAAAAATTGGCCCCAACAACAAAATGTTTCCTATGTGGAATCTTTAAATCTTTTGGGAGCTGGACTAAGTGCTGTCAGAGCTGGGATTCAAATATTTAAGAAGTAGTTTTCCCTCAATGGAAATTTGGTTCTCCATCCAATGCTGAAATATTTGATTAATTTACCCATCAAAGAATATCAGTATGCCTTAGCTTATTGAATTTCTAGAGAATAAAATAGACAGGTACTAATTATGCTATGAACTAAATATATATTAACTATTTGCCATTTTACCCTTTGCTTTTAGCACTGCAATGATCTGGAAGGAAAAAACGAAGCTCAGAATTATTTCCACTTCAGAACTGGACTGAAATTATAAAGATCAGGTTGGTTTTCACACGAGCAGCTGATCCTGCAAAGGCTTATAATGATGATGAGCCAGTGTCATTAATTGTTGGGATTTAACGAGGTCATTCCCAGTGCAAAGCCCGCACTAAAGCCAGCATTCCTCTGTGCCAGCAGGGAAGTGCAAATCCTTCTAGTGTGGAGAAACACACCAATATTGGAGTCCCACCACATCATCCTACCCTCAGCAGAACAAACTCAGTGACACAAATACAAAGCCCCAACGTGGCAAGAGCAGCACAGGAATATTTGCATCACAGCTTCATCAGATTAGCCATAAAAACCCCAAAAAGGAATTTAAAAATATCAATTACCTCAAGCATTTAATCACTTTTCCAAAGCAAGTGGGAAGAATAACCCAACCCACAATAGAAGATAATGTCCTGAAACAGATTTTTGCCTGAAGACTTCACCCCCAGCTGGGTTTAGGACTGAGTCCAGGCAGAGTTCACCAATCTCAGCTCAAGGCTCTGGGCATGGCTTAAACTCAGGATGTTTTCCTGCCTGCAGTTCTCAGCTCTGCTCCTCAGCCCCACCAGCAGAGGATTTGAACCTCTTGGCAAAAGCCAGCAGAAATAAGCAGAGACAAAAGGGTGGCTGAGATTTCTCCCAGGAGGGAGCACGTCCCAGCCAGGTGTGGACTGAGATGAAAATGAGACCAAAATAAATCACCAGAATCCCAGAAATCCCTGATTTCCACGCAGGCAGCTCAGCACAGCGGCTCGTGCCACACTCACTGCTGAGAGGAATGAGGGATTTGTCTCCACAAATGAGCTGCTGGTAAATAAAACCAGCACCGAGAGATAAAAGAAATAATGGGAAGGATTCCACTGACTGATGAATGGAAAAAAATATATTTGCCTTTCCAAACAAACTGCAGGTTTGCTGGTAAATGAAATTGGATATTGAAAGATGAAAGAGACAATGGGGAAACACCATAAATTCCATAAGAATTAAAAATTAAGAGGGAGGGTTCTACATTAGAGGGGAATCTTAGGTGTCAGGCATTCTGGGGAGCCTGTGCCTCTCAAGTACCTCAGGCAGTGGGGAAAGAGAGAGGGACACGGCCGGGAAATTGGGATAAAAAGGAGATAAAAATTGGAGAGACCCCAGGGGAATGGTCCATGGCCTCTCCCTTTATTGGAATAAAGTTACAGGACTCCTCTGTCTCCTTTTTGGACATAAACCCCTGGTGTTTGTGGATTCATTTTCCTGACACTGGGGACAAATCACGACACCAAATCACAGTAATCCCATAATCAAGACACCCCCAGGTTCACCTGAGGCTCCTGGGCAGCACAAACAGCTCTGCCAGCCCCAAACCAGGCTGAGGCTATAGCAGAGCCCCCAGCCCTGCTTCTCCCAGAGGACTGGGGGGGTTTGGGGTTGTTTTACACTCACTTTACTGTTCAGGAGCTTTGGCTTTATCAAAAGATCATGAAAATGGAACACCAGCACACACAGCTCCTTCTGTTTACAGTCAATATTCAGTGTCTTGAGGCAAAACTCAGCAGGATGCTCAGGAAGGTGGAGGGTGGTCCTGCAGCGTCTGGGAGCAAGGGGAGCTCCAGAGGCTCTGAGGAAATCAGCACCACAAAATCTCAGCTTTGCCAGTATAAAACCCAAAATAAGCCCACGGCAGGGCCTGTCCCTGCCTTGTGAAGTGGACTGAAAATGGTTTTAGTGTCAAAACACAAGTGAAACATTTCCTAGTGCCACTTCAGGAGGAAGTGACCCCGCTCAGCCACGAGTTAATTCAGCAGGAGAGTGCTCAGACACTGCCAGTACAGCTGAGACTCTGCTCATTTCCATAATGCTCTGCTGTTGTCATTAATGAACGTGCTAATGATCTCTCAATTCTTCATTTAGACTGCTAATTGCTGATTAGGACATTTGGGAATAGAGTTGAGCTGATTTATTCCAGCTTCCAGTCCGGCCTGGGGTTCTGAAGGTTGCACCTGGGGAGAACATCCCTGCTCCAGATTGATGAATAACCCAAACCAAATCGTTCTGAGGGTACCTCTTCCCTCAAGTTTACAAATTCAGGGGATGAGGGAAGGCACAGGAAGCAGAGAGTATGGCACATTTCCCCTTAAAAAACCTGGCACTGTTCATTTAAAGCAGCAGAAGGCAGGAGAGCCCTTCCCAGGCCAGCCCAGGAATTTCACAAGAGCATAAATGGAGATATTCAGCTGCTGCATCCATCAGACAGCAGCAAAGTAGATAAAAATATGGAATTCCTTTATAAAACAAATGCTTTAGAGGAAAGGTCTCCAATCAGTGATCCCAAATCCCTAAAGATAAAATTGGATTGCTTTAAAGGGTCCACAAACAAATGCAAGCAAAAAGTGCTGATTGTCAGTAGGCTCAAATGAGGTTCATGTCACTGCTAAAAAAAGGTTCCAGGCCTAAAAGAACAGGGCTGAAAGCCACTGTTCTAAGAAATTCCAGCCATAATAAGCTTTAATCTCCAGTTAATTCCCAAGAACTCCCTATTGCACTGAACTCTCTGGCAAATGACACTTATTTCAGTTCCCTTTTAGCCAGGGCAGCGTGCATTAATAAATACTTATTAATGCTATGACCCCTGGATGTTATTTTAAATAAGAACATTAAAAGTATTTCTTTTGGTTGCCTGGCTGCTTTTGCTGTTGTATTTTAATAGTTTCTTGTGTTTTGCTGGAAATGGAATTTGGAGGCTGCACAAACAGCACTGAGGTCAAATGCAACGTGCTCCAGGTAATCTTCAGCACATCTTTTAGATATAATCTAATTTAATTACCTGAAAAATCATTTTACAGCTGTTTTTTTATTGTGCTTTTATGTAAATAAATACCCAGGAGCCACAAATACACGTCCCACTAGTTGTGGGAAGTGGGTCCTTTTTGGAGTTAACATTGCTACTCCTCCCTTCCTGGCACAGGTAGGAATGGACTTGCAAAACCGTTTTTTAATGAAGAAAGGTTTGAAATTTGGTTAAGCAAACCTGTGCATGCTCAGAGGTGAAAAAAACCTCCACCCAGGCAGCAAGGAAAGAACATGGGAGAGAGGGAAAAAGGAAAGAATCACCCAGAGCAGTTTTCATTTAACTTTTGTCCCACTCCTGCCCTGAAGTCCAGCAGCTCCTTCCCTGTGTCCTGCCCAGGGCAAAGGGGTGAGAAGAAGCAGCTGCAGGAAGGCAGGAGCATTTGCAATAACAAATCAAACATCTGCAACAACAACGTGCTGTCCTTTCTCATCAGCACTTCCAGAGCTTCCAGCGCTGCTCTGCCCTCTGGCAAAACAGGAGTTAAAAATCAAAACCATTTCAAAACTGCATCGAGGCTTTTGCTCAAAGTTCCAGAGATTCTTTCTGGTCATGTGGACAAAGTGTTCTGCAAAGGGACTCCCCCAGGCCATGGCATCGCCATCCCTGTAGGACAAACCTTCCCACCCAGGAGAGGCAACTCTGCATAAAACGGGTTTGGTTAAAAACTGAAATACAACCGAAAAATAAAACCCTGCTCACTGTTTTTCTACAGCTCAGCCCAATCCTCTCTGGCAATGCCAAATCAGCGATTACAACTCCCCAAATTGCACAAAGGATCCTCAGGCCAGAATAAAAATTTTCAGGCAGGTGGTTACAAAGGAAAAATGCAGCAGAATTTGGGATTCATCTCCTTCATAAAGAAGCCTCAAGGCTGAGACAGAACCGTGGCACACTGAGGTTTCTTTCCTCACCAGTGCCAGTTCCAGGACATGGGTTGGGTGGATATCAGTGAGGTTCTCCTTTCCAAGCAGTGCTACAGCCCCCCTCAGCTCCCCCAGCACTTCTGTGCTGCTCTGCTCTCCTAAAAAATGCAGTCAGTTCAGTAAACACAAAAAGGACTCATCTTCCTGCTGCCTCATCCTTCTTTGAGGCTCCCAGAGTGAAGAGCTTTCACAGAAAGAAAAGAATAACTACTCAGAAAAAAAAATCCAACAACAACAAAACAGTTTAAACTCAAAATATCTATTAACTAAACATTTCACAATTCATAATGGATTTTACACCTTTTCTGACTTCTGACTCATTATTTTTGAATTATTAAGGATAAGAATGTTGTCTGTAAACAGCACCTTTCCCTTTTAAAAGCTGACAAGCACCTGAAATTCAGATTGTAAACTCCTCTGGGAGGACAGCACCCTCTTCCAGGGATGTGTGCTGTATAGCTGGTATTCAGGAAAAGCTGTTCATCTCCCAGTTCTGCCTTCACAGTTGTCTTCTGCTGCTGTGAGGAAAGAGATCCTCTTCCTACCCTTGTATTTTAGCATGAAGAGCAGGCATTCTTTATTTCCACATAATTTAAAATCAAAATAAAAAGCTCTATTTACCCTGATCTGGTAAGAAAAAATAAGGTCCAGTGGTATGGACATGTTGGGGCAGATGTTGGATAATCTCTTTGTCCCTTTTCACTTTGGTGCCTGTGATTCCCTCGGCCTGGCATAAAAAACTGCCTAGAAGGGACTTTCTTTGGTTGAAATTAAAGAACTAGATATTTTCCATATCTAATGTTCACAATTCCAAAGAGCTCCTAAATATTAGGAAAACGGTTGACTGACCATAAGGATGAATCAGAAGAGTCTGAAGAGTCATCTATGAAAAAACAAAATGATTAAAATCAAGCTGGAGAAGCAGCATTTCCATAGGCACAGGCAGGTAAAGGCCTGTGGAGAAATGAGATAACCATGCCCTTGTGGCCTGGCTGAATTGTGCCAAAACCACTGGAGGTGAGAGGTGCTTTAAGATCTTTTCCTGCATGTTTGGATTTGATTTCTCTATCTGAAATTCAGGGAGGTTGCAAAATCAAGCACTGCCCGGTACAGACCAGAGCAAACAGTCCCTGGCAGGCATTGCTTGGCAAACACCAGGGTGTGGTGATGGAAAGCAATGCCAGAACGAGGGATGAGAAATGAGCTGCCTCATTCTTCAGCTGGACAGGAGGTCCAGACTACTCCAAAAATCCCACCCCATCCACAAGGACAGGGCTGCAAAGAAGACTTGATCACAGCTTAAGAGTGGAGCCGAGACACAGAAAGCTCCAGAGAGGAGACATGAGACGAACAGCCCCACGCAAAGTTAAGATTCGCAGGTTGGCCACAATCGGGTTAAGAACTTCATTCAGTACTTCCTATGGAGTCCCCACCCCTGGCAGGTAAACCCAGAGAGATTGCAGGGTGCCAACGTACTGGCACCACCCTGCCCTGCTCTCTGAGCACACACACATCACTGCACAGACACACAGACACTCAGTTTGCCCAGGCTTTGTCACAATCTCTCTTTCCCAGCTAGTTCTTCGCAGCACGGTGCCCCTGCGTGCCCAGGGCGAAGTCCACGGCCTGGTGCACGCTGTGGAAGAGCAGGTGGTCCTCCCCCTCTTTGAAGAGCTCTCCTCGGAGCAGGGAGCTCCTGACAGAAGGGTTGCACTGGGCCAGCAGCACATGGACATCGATGTCCCCGTAGTCCTTGCAGACCTCCTTAAGCGTGCGGATGCCGGCCGTGTCCAGGAACTGCACGGCGCAGCAGTCGATCACTATGGTGTGAAACCCCGCGGGATCCGACCCAAAATCCACGGGGATGCTGCTCTGGTTGTCCCCAGCCCCCGCCTCCTTCTCCCTGAGCATTTTTTTCTCTGCTTTCTTCTTGGCTGCCTTCACCCACACGGGGTTGACCCCGGTTTGCTTGTAGAGGGCAGATTTGAAGCACTCCTTGTTGATGTAGTAGAGGGGGGCTTCAAAGCGGAACACCACAACCCCAGGCTTGGTTTGCAGGTTCTTGTAGGCGGAGAGGGACTCGTAGGTCTCCGATTCAGCCACCCAGCCCAGCAGCGGCGCCTCTGGCCGCTGGGTCCGGAAGATCACGCAGAGCATGGAGAAGCAAACCCCCACCAGGAGCCCGATCTCGGTGCTGATGAGCGCCGTGGCTGCCATGGTGACCCCCCAGATCACCGTGTCCACCCTGCTCAGGTGCCACATCTTGGGCAGGTCCCTGAACTTGCGCAGGGCTCCGCGGAGGTTGACGATGGTTATGACGGCGAGGACGCATTTCTGCAGGGAGTAAAACAAAGGTGCGATCACGAGGAGGACCAGGAGGATCACCAAACTGGTCACCATGCCGGACATTTGCGTCCTACAGCCCGTGGACTCCTTGACCAGGGTCTTGGCGAGAGCCGCGCTGGTTGTGAAGCAGTGGAAGAAGGAGGGAATGATGTTGCAGAAGCCAATGGCGTACATCTCCTGGTTGGCCCTCACCGAGTATCCGTGCTTCTTGGCAAACATCTCCGAGAGGGACACGGTGATGGCAAAGCCAATGATGGCGACGGGGATGGCGTCCAACGCCACGCTGGGCAGCAGGCTCCAGTCTGGAGGGCGCGGCGGCAGAAACCCCGTGGGGATGTGCCCGGAAACGCTGGAGCCGTAAGTCTCTCTCAGCTTCCCAAAGTGAGATGCCAGAGTGGCTGCCACAACCACAAAGAGTTCCACCGGAATCGGAGCCTTGAGCTTGGACTTGAAGCGCTCGTTAAGCTCTTTGGCTGGGATGAGCACCAGGAAGCACAAGAAGCTGGTGATGAGGTCACAGACGTTGGTCCTGTGGATGTTTCTGAAGATGTTGATCCAGGTGGTGATGAGGGAGCCAACGCCCCCGCTCCGAGGAATGTCCAGTCCCAGCAGATACTTGACCTGTGAGGTCAGGACAGTGATGGAGGCCCCTGTGACAAATCCACTCAGCAGCGAATCCGAGAGGTACACGGAGACAAAGCCCACTTGGAAGAAGCCCATGGCCACCTGGAAGGAGTCAACCACACACAACGTGTCAGGACACAAATCCCATAGGTTTTGTCAGCTGGAATAAAAGTCTCCAGTATTCAAACCAGGCTTTTTGGGGGTCTCCATCCCCTGAACAAATGTTTATTGTTTGCTCTGCTAATTACCCTGGTGGGGAAAAAGATAAAAAGAAAACACAGGAAAAGAAAACAAAACCCATATTTGAAATGCTGTCCGCTTTTGACATTTCCCTTTCAGTTTCTCTAAACTCTGTGAACTTTGCAAGGATCTGAAACTTTTCTGGTGGCCTTTGTCTGCCTTACACTGGAGTTCAGAACCTGCAATAAAACCACACTTTGTGGGATAATGACTGTCCTTTGCACTGCAGAAAGTTTGGTGCCTCTGACTCAGAAAGCCTGTGAGCTGCAAACTCCTCTGCTGCAGATCATATAAACACAGATCACTGGGAACTCCATGAGAACCTCAAAGAATTACTGAAGAGAAGGCAGGTTTGGGACCTGGACTGGCTGAAATCAGCTCACAACTCTCAAAAAGGCTCCCTTATAGCCTTGATAATTAATTCAAGGTTGTTCTAAGTGTAAAACATTCATAATAATTAGCTTGCCTAGTTAGGATGTATTAGCTGGTGTGAGAAGATTTGCTTGTTATGATTTGATTGTAAAGTTTCTGATATAAGGAATATGTGATTTTGGTTGAGAAAAATAAATTTGAGGGTGTTGGCCTGAAGAGAATATGCTTAAAGTTCAGAGGAACTGAAGATAAACTAATCTGATTTCTTCAGATAAAGGAACTTAATTGTATTTGTACTTGCAAAGAATATTAAGTGCAATCCAAAACTCCAAAACTGCACCCATCCCACAGGCATGAAAGATGAAACCCAAAATCCAGTGTAGCCTGGGATGCCCAGAATATTTCTGAAATAATTCAACATGAACTTGCAATACAAAAAGTTCCAGGTTGTGTCCAAAACCTGTGTTTTAAAGTACCACAAACATGTTTTGTTCCCCTCCCACACATTTTGATTGGTTGTCACCCTGGACAAATGAGAACAAATGAATGCAAACTCACAAATACCACAGCTCTGCAGTCCTGCTAAAAATAATCCCATTCTGGTTAATGTACAAGACTCTAAAAACAAGGACACCTGCTTTAATTTAGGCAAGCAGTGTGTTCCACAAAAATAAGAGATATATAAATCTAAAAGATATTCTATCCTCTCAGTAGATTCCTTTCCATGCAAGAGTGTTGTTTTGGCTTCAAACGGGCAAACAGCAAAATTTTAAAAGCACATTTACAAATAAAAGGAAACTGGAGATACTTTTACCGTCCAAATTTTTCTTCATTAAAGGCAAATTATTCAAGATTATTATTAAATAAATAATAAATAATAAAGATTATTAAAGATTTAAATTATTAAATTATTAAAGATTTGAATTAGGAGCTGATGCACCATTTTGGCCCAATGAAATGGAGTCTAATGCAAAAAAAAATGAAAATAAACAGAGCATCAGGCCACAGTGAAGAAGGTGGTGAGCAGACCTTGAGAGCTGGAGGTGCAGGTCCTTACAGTCCCCAAAAGGGAAACAATGGAGGCAAGAAAAGCTGTTAAAAAATGGGGAGCACTCCCCAAAAGAGAAGCAAAGAGAAGCAATGCAGGCAGGAAATGCTGCTAAAAACCAGGGAGAGCACCCAGAGGAGTTTCTTGCCCCAGGTGCAGATTGAGGATATGTGCAGGCAGGATGGGGACGCTCCCCTACAGAAGAATTTCAGCAAATGCACACCACAGCTGTGTGTCCAGCTCTCCTTACCTGGTAAACTCCAGAGATGAAGGTCAGGGTGGCAGCCACGGCCATGGCATAGCAGCTTTTGTCACAGAGCGGCTCCGGTGCTGTCCCGTTCCCGGTGCCGTTCCCGATCCCGGTGCCCATCCCGTGCCCTCCCGGGCCTGGCAGGGCACTGAGCACAGCTGGCTCCAGCTCATAGCCAGCTCTCTCTACTTCCCGATCCACCACCTGTCCCACCATCAGGCAAACCACCCCAAAGATGCTCACGGAGATGTGGCGGGAGGTGCCAAAGATGCAGTAAATGATGCAGGAGAAAAAGGAGGTGTAAAGGCCATAAATGGGCTCCAGGCCAGCCAAGAGAGAGTAGGCAATGGACTGTGGGACCAGCAGGACCCCCACGATCACACCAGACATGATATCCCCCAGGAGATACTCCCTGATTTTGTATTTAGGAAGCCACTGTAAGATGGGGAAAAACCCCAAAACACAATCTTTAATTTTGGCTGGGGTGCAGCTGCAAGTTTTCTTGGCTTTTTTAACCAGCAGAGCCTTCATGCTCCTCTTCTTCTCTTGGGGTTCCAGGAACATTCTGTGATGGAAACTGCACTTGGCATCATCTCCTTCTGGCCCTTCTGTCACTGCATGGATATTGTTGGCCTCTGTCATTGCTGCCGCCACCAGGACTCACTAAAAACACAAAGGAAGACCATTAAACCAAAAATGAATGTACAATGTGAGACTTGAACACAGCATTTATGAAGAGCAAGGGCTGAAACTCTCAGCTCAGCAGAGAGAAAGCCATTTCCAAGCAATCTGGGAACGAGCCTCCCCTCTGTATCCCTGAGAAGCAAGGAATGACCTTTCCCAGGAGGGAAGCTGATATCCTGTAGAACACACCTGCTGCTGGCAGTGCTGGGAAATGGACAGGAATGCAGCAGCACTGCCTTTCTGGGATGTTTCCTTGAGAAAAATCTCTGCCTGCAGCCTGTTCCACCTTGCAAAACCAGACAGAAGGTTTATTGTCTTGCCACAGCCACTCCAGATCAACTGCTGAAAATTAACTGCAAGTGGGGCATTTCCAGCAAAGCACAGCTCAGTCTACATCTCTTGTGGGTTGTTTTTTGTTTTGTTTTTTTAAAAGCAGTGATTTCTCCTGCCAAATACTAAAGGTTACTAAAGGTAAAGGTTTGTTACCTAAGAAGTGGCTTTTTTACAGCCAATGGCACACTGCAAAAAAAAAAAAAAAGCACTTCATACTTTTGAAAAGCCAGTTTTACAAGGAAAGTGCACCTGATCAAAATAATGGACACAAATGGAAAACATATTAATGGGCACAATGACAGGTAGGTGGGACACTTCTGCTGGAACTCGTACTCTAGTCCAAGCTGCCCACAGACAGTAAAACAGGGTAATTATACCAATAATTTAACATATTGCCTGACTGGGAAAGAGCAAAGTCTTGATGAGACAAACCCTAATGAAACTTGAGCATGACTGCCAGCACTCACACAGCTCTCCCACCTTCAGAAAACATCCAGAATTCTCCAGAAACTCCTTAAGCCCCAATAGCTGGTCCCAGCAGTACAGAGAGGCCATTTCAGCCAGAAACTCACTGGTGTGGGGTGAGACCCAGCAAGAGAACCCTGAGGAGTGTCACTGCCAGGCTCTGCAGTCCCAGGGTGCCAGTGACAGCACGGATTTGATGTGCTGCTCACGTCTGCTCTGTGCAGTGCAAACATCAGCCAGGCTGCTGTCCATGGAATTCAGCTCTCTGCTGAATTAATTGCCCAATTAATTGTCCAACTGTCCTGAATTAATTGTACCAATTAATAAATTGCTACTGCAACTGGCAGTGCTAAGGATGCCACCAAGGCCTCCACTAACCCATGTCCTCAAGTGCCACATTTACAAGTCTTTTAAATCCCTCCAGGGATGGGGATTCCGGCACTTCCCTGGGGAGCTGTGCTGGGGCTGGACAGCCCCATTGGTACAGAAATATCTCCTAATTAAAACACTCACTGCTCCCATCCCTGCAGTGTGAGTTTCCCAAAATAATTATGGGAGAGAAAAGTGACTCTGTGTGGTGCCTACTGCCTTAGGACAGCCTGAGCCCACAAAAGTAGAACCAGCTACAGGACTTAATATTTAGAATGGCTTCTTCAGACTTCTAGAACCAACTAGAAAGTAATTCCACCCAGCTAATCCAACTGTCCCACCTCACACCATGTCCCTGAAGCTGCAGACATACCTAAAACCAACACAGATGCTGACAGAAGATACCAGGGAGGAGTTTGTGTTTTATCTCTTGCTCCATGCTGGGACTCCCAAAGGTGTTTCCATTCACCACAGACCCAGACAGGGAGCGTCTCTTTGGTGGGTGAGCTCCTGCAGCCTCCCAAACCATGGACAGAGAGGAGCCTTTCAAACACAGACCCCAAACCATGGACAGAGAGGAGCCTTTCAAACACAGACCCCAAACCATGGACAGCCAGAAGGCAGCAGCAGGGGTGGATTTTCTGTGTGATGGGGGCTGTATCTCCCCTGCTGTAATACCCCAGGATCACTGAGGTTTGAAAAGCCCTCCCAGCCCATCGAGTCCAAGCTGTGCTCAAGGCCCACCTTGTCCCCAGCCCAGAGCACCAAGTGCCACCTCCAGAGTCACGTGAAGGATCAGGATCTTTAAATGAAGAAACTGCACTGTGAGAAGGGATGTGCTCACAGTGATCACACTTGGAGGAGACCCCCAGCCCTACCCTGCAGGTTCACAATCTCAGCTCCCTGTACAGCTCTGCAAAGTGGGCTCAGGGGTGATTTACAGCCCTCACAACCCCCCTAAATACACAGTGAGAATCGAGGGAGAATTACAAAAGCCTATGTCAGCTCCACTTTGCAAAAGCACATTTTGGAGCTGTATTTGCTCAAGAAATTTTATTTGTTTTACCAGCACAGAGTCACAGATCAAAAGGCTTCTCACCCACCCAAAGCTCAGCAAATCAACACTGTAAAAGCTGAGGAGAAAAAAAATCAACCCAGACTGCTTTTTATGTGTAGCAATGAGTTTGTTTTCTGAGATTTAAGTAAAGATTTCAGTAGGGAAAATCCTTCTGATTCCTTCTGCTCCTCCTCCAGGACTTGCAAGCAGCTCACTCAAACCTGGGAATTTTCTTAGATGTGCCAACACAAACCCCAGACAGCTCAGTTTGGGGCTGCTGTAAAACATCTGCATGGGAGGGGGTGCCTGGGTTTCAGCACTGTCCAGACAGTAGGAAAATGTTCTAATGAAAAACCTTTTTGGCTCCAGAACTCTGAGCACATACTGGGTCTTTGTGCTGACTTGCATGACAGCTTTCTCTCCATGGAATGAAAAGGACCTTTCACCATACAGTCCGTGCCTCTTGGTATGTCAGGATAGTAGGAAATGACACAATTTCCAACACTCATTTCACCCTTTTCTGCCTCAAATGCTGCCCTGTATTAATTTTGTAACCGTTAGCCCAGTCTTGTCTAATAAAACTGGATTTTGTTCTTAAACATTAAAAAACCCAACCCTGAGGAAACCTCTTTGGTTCATGCTTTGGACACTGAAGGACATTCTGTACATTTAACTTGAATAAGGAGCTGCTGTGGTTTTTTTCTGAAAGCTGCTATTTACACACAACCTAGAATTCACTTTTTTTCTCTCCTTTTGGCCTTTCAGGGGGTGTCTCCTTGCCACAAACTTTGCTTAAGATAAAAAAACTCCAAGACAGAACTGAGGAAATTTCCAGTATCTGTTATCAACTGACTGACATAAAATAAAGATACAGGGAGGTCCTGCAGTCTCTAAAAGGCATCAGACCTCCAGACTATTTCTGGAGCCCATCTGGGCCCTTTTTTCTGATCCCATGATGTGGCAGCATCTGCCTGGCTTCTGTTTTTGGGGGAGCACTACCTGCAGCCCAGGGCTGCCTTGGACTTCGTTTGTCTGTGGCAGACCAGAGTCACCTTGAGAGTAAGAGAAAAATGGATTGTAAAACTCACCTGCTGAAATAAGTACTACAAGGTGAAACTTCAGATGTGAGCATTTCAGAGTAGAAACCAAAACAAAAGTATCCTTTTTACAACAGCCATCTCAGTTTTCCTTATTTAAATTATCACTGTATGTGATCACCCCCCTGCCTCATGTACCCCTTGCTGGACAGGAGAGTTTACATGCATAATCTAATGCATAAATCCATAATCTAAAAAGACATGAACAATTTCTGGAGAATTATAAAGGAGAAACAGGTGAATCAGAAATCCAAGTTCCACACAAACTGAACCAGTAAGAATACAACAGGAAAGCATATCACAGCATTTTGACAACTAAATCTTTGACCTTTCTCTTGTTGGACAACGGCCTTTCTCAAATAATGTCTTTACTGTTGTGGAGCAACAAGGAAATTCAATATTACCATGATAACACCCAGATAAGGACTGGAACAACATTGCCTGCATCTTGAAATTTGACATAATCATTCATATCCTCCAGCAAAACATGCAAGCCACAAACATTTCCTTCCACAAAGGACTGCAAATAACATGAATAATGAAAACCACGTTTAAGGAACACATGTGGAAATACAGCCGCCTCACTTTTGGCACCGTAACCAGCAGATATCCACTCATGCAGGAAAACCTGCAAAGCCGGACAATAAAAGCTCACTTTTGTGAAATGTGGTGTTTGCTCCTGAACATGGGATCTTCTGTTAGCAGGGAACACTGAGGAGCTGCCTCGGGCAGTGAGGATGGGCTGAGGAAAAGCTGCCCAAAGGAATTTCCTCAGGCAGCAGCTGCCCATGGAAAACCACCGGATAATGCAACTGCGCTGGTTGTTGTGTGTTAATTGATGAAATTAATAAATCCTGCAAGAAGAACCCCGCACGCTGTGTAGCTCCTGGAACTGCGGGGTTTTGCTGAGCGCTTTGGAAGCCAAACCCAACATTTCGGCTCCCGGCAGAGCGAAAGGGAAGCGAGAGCAACAATTGAGCTTTTAATTCACTTTCACCCTCGGGCTCCCGCTGCCTTCCAACCCAGCTTCCTGATGGATTCCATGCGCATTTTCCTCTCCTCCCGCTCGTCCCGGGAGGCTCCGAGCCGGCCCCCGCTGTCCCCCTGCCCAAGGCCCCCTTCCCTATTAATTCACCGCCCGCGGCTCCCCGGGGACCCGGGGACGGCTGGCACCGACGGACACACGGACTTACAGACAGACGGAGGGACAGATGGAGGGACAGACAGACACACGGAGGGACAGACAGACAGACAGACACACGGAGGGCCCGCCCGCCCGCGGGGCCTGGCAGCACCGCCCCGCTCCGGGCAGGGAGGGCCGGGCAGGGCCTCGCCTCTTCCACCCCTCCCCGGCCCGCTCACTTCCGAAGGGATCCCGGGTTAAGGGAGGCCCGGGAGAGGCTGCTCTTGGTCCTTTAGTTTGCACTTAACCCTTTTAAATTGAAAGTATGAATTGATGACGTGAGGCGAAGTGAAGTTAAACTTCGTGCGGGTGGGGAAGCGCCACACACTCTGGCCCCCCTGCTCTGGGGTACCACTGGGGTTTATTAAAAAGATGGGAAGGGTGAAGGATCCTTGGCAATGTGGGTATTAAAAATCCCAGGTTTCTCTTAAACGCTTTGCTCTTATTTCTGGGCTGGAGGTTCAAGGTCGGAGGGGCCAAGCCCAGCCCTGTCTGCCTTCCCTTCCCGGTTGCACAGAAAAGCAGATGTTTCTCCTGAAGTAAAACATTGCCCAATATTTGCATTCCAGGTGGAACCTTGAGCCTTCAAAAAACCCCATCAATACCCTGGTGCAGCAAACGAAGCCAACTTCAAGCCTGCAGAATTCATGCTCTTGTCTTTCAGTGTTAAGCAAATGCTGTAAATCTTACTGTAGAAATACTGGATATTTCCATAGGAAACATTTCCCTTCTCCACAAGGGTTTATTAGATGTCATGGTAACCAGAAAAGACAATTGCAATGGAAATAGAAGAGCTCCCTCCCTCTCCCCTGACTGTCCATTGTCAAAAACATCAGTGACTGGCTTCCCAATCCCTTTAGGGACTTCCAAGGGAGTTTTAATTGAGTTTGAAGTATATGGTGACGCCAAGACAACCAGAACAAATCCTTGGGAGGAGCGACATCTATGACAAAAGCATTCAAAGCCTTTTGTGTAGGGACTCTGCAGAATCCTAATAAGAAATCACAAAGCAAATCAATGGATGTTCCAGTGTTTTCATTCTTGTTCTAGAAGCACAGGCTGTGGTAAAAACTTGGGCCATCCAACACATCATGTCTTTGTGGAAGAAACAGGGAAATAGTATCTTCTTAGAATGTGATATTAAAAGAAAAAAAAAGCATTATTATTTTTCTGGACCTAAAAAAAAATGCAGGCTTTTTTTCATCTTGCTTTTAGACTGATTTTCTAAAAAAAAATGGGTGGAAAAAATCCAAGCAATTATTTAAGATAATTAAATCATTTCACTTCCAACTGCTTTCCTCTTCTCGAGGTATATTAAGCTTTATGGTTAATATATTTCTGTGCTGAGGGAACCTTTGGCCTTGGAGAAATGTGCCTCTGGGGCTCCTCACGCTCCAGAATCTCCTGCCAAGGAGCTGGGGTTTGCTGACACACAAATGCCAGCGTGTGCCATCTGCCCATCCCATTCAGCCTGCCTGGCAAACCTGCTGCTTCTCCAGATCACCACATCGTCTTTGGAACATCAAATCTCCACAGACTGCAAAATAACACTGGAAATTGCTTTGTTCCACTGAGCAGGTACTCCTGGGCAGCCCTGCTGTGCCCTGGTGCCACCTGGCACATTGCTCTGCAGGCTCCTATGATGGTGTTATCAGCCCTCTGTCCACAAACCCCACAGGCAGTGGCTCTCCCTGGCTCTTCCCAGTGTTTCCCAGGCTCCCAGCTCAGCATTATCACTCAGCAGATAAAGGCAGCCTATGATTTCCCCCAGCTCTCAGCTGCTTTGTGCCACCTGCCCCCCTGCCTTGTGTAAGGAGCCTCCTGCCTTCAGTCCTGTCCTCCTGGCACCTCCCTGCCCAGTGCCCTGGTCCTGCTGGCACAGCTCCGTGGAAGGGTGGCTGGGTTATGCTGAAAGTGGTTAAAAATTAGTTATTTTCTCTCCTTGCCCTTCCCTCCCTCTACAGCTCTCAGTGCACTGAGATTCAGGCCTGAATTTGCACATTGTTACATCAAGTTTGGAGATGCAGAAGATGGAACTGTCTGGTTCTCACCTGTGAGTTCTATCAGAGCTGGGGCAAACCTTCCTCCCCAGCCTGACCTGCTGGGCTTCATTAACAAAGCCCTCATTAATGTCACACTCAGGTCTATGTGTGGCAGGTCTGACTTATTAGAAAACCCATAAGACTAAGTAACAGAAAGAGGCCCATCCTAATGCTTGAAGTGCATTTAATTTAATTCACTCACATCATTCATTGCTTGGCAAAACCAAAAAAAGAGGAGCTAAAATGAGCTGCTTTTAAAGGCTTCCATCAAGGATGAGACAAATGCCAAGTAAAAATTGAGTGGTTGGAAAGGAGAGGGCGTAATACAAAAGGAAGATGCAATGAATCAGAGTTCGTAGGTAATCAAAATACTTAAGCCATAAAGATGTCAAAAAGACATAAGCCCTGTCCATATCTCAGGACAATTATACTGCAATCAAGAAAGAGTGTTCTGTGCAAACATCTGTGCAGAATTGCTGCACTCTCAGTGTGTGTCACCTAGAGTCAAGAAGTAATTAAGTGATAAAATTTTCAGAGTGTTGATATGTGTTAGCAGGCTTAGTTAAATAATTGGTGGACTCAGTGTGTTTTCTTACCCTGCTTTCATCCAGTCTTTCAGCTCTTTGCTTCCTCAAGGCTAAGGCATGGAACATTAAAACAAGTCACAAATTCCCAGGAGTCTCTTTGTAAACAATCAAACGTATGGGGGAATTAAACTGCACCAGCAACTTAGCATCTAACTCAGAAATTCCACCTTCTTAGATACTCCTTTTCATCCAAAAGCTCTCTGAGCCTGCAGCAGGATTACAAATCCCACGTTTGAGTGAGGGTTGCTGTCTGCAGGGATTTGCGGCACTGCAGGAACTCTGCAGCAGCAGCATTGACCTGCACTAGCTGCTCCCAGCCCCTTCAGCTGGCAGCCAGAGAGAAGCCCAGGTCAGGAAAGTGCTGAAGGACAAGCTCCTTTTTCCCTTTTTTTTGCCTCATCTCTCATCTGAGAGCAGCTGCCCTTTGTGCCTTGCTGGCTTCAAGCAGGAAGGAATATTTGTAAAGTCACCTTGAGCAACCGCTGAGCTCCCAAAATCTGGCTAACACTTTCTGTTATGCTGACAATTGATGGGTGCAGCAGAGCCAGGGCTGAGCATGCAGCACAGCTTGGAGAGCCCATTTAAACCTGGAAGAGAGGTGTTACTCTAAATCTGAGATGGATTGCTGTGTTTATTTTTAATCCCTGAAATCAGGTATGTGTTGATTATCACAAGTGACAGAACAGAGTTGTAGCTGCAAGTCCTGTAAAAGGACAGAGAATTTCAGCCTTGATTTCTTCGGAGTCTACCCACAAAAAATGCTCTCAAACAACTAATTCCTGGTGATGGTATGAAATCCTCCAGTCTTGCTGAAGTGCATTTATTTGGTTATTCAGCAACATAGTGACAACAGAATCACCACAAATCATTGTACAAAAATATAATTAGACCCATGAGATGATACAGTCCACAGTTTACAATGCAGCAACAGTTGGAGATTTTATTATGTTCATAGTAATTCTTAGCACTTATTAAAAAAAACTTTTCATATGTTCCAGAACTGATTTGAATGCAAGGTAGGAGGGGAGATCAGAACACTTGGCGGATTCTCATTATTAGAAGTCATCATGATAATATAATCCTTCCCATCCTGAGTTCTGGTGCCATTTTTTCTTATCTTTCTTATATCTGGCCTTAATAGAATTAAAATTCTCAGACAAGTTTTTAAGCTGTTCCTTCTTGATGATGCCTTCCTGCAGTAGGAATAAACAAGATGAAAAAGTTTCACTTACTGAAAAATAAAGTAATATTTTATAACATATTGGACAAGTTGATTCCAAGTAGAACATTGTCTTGTCTCATAAAAAAGTATTTCTTTTCCCTGACCTGTTCTGAGCAATTGTCTGGTTCTGTATAAAGCACAGCCATTGACTGAGCTCACAAGACTAATAACTGGACATACTGATTTAAAAATATACCTCTAGATTTGCTCCAAAAGTTAAAAAGTGGTGAAGAAAGTAAGATTTTATTTTGAATTTACTAATTAAGAAGAAAATGATTTGCAAACTGAACTTTAGTTGCAGCAATTAAAATAATAATTTTAAAACATCTTTTGTATAACTTCTAAATAACATTTATTTTAAAAAGCTTGTAGAAAAGCTAAAATCTGACTCCTTTCTTTTAAGGTGAAGGACAGCCTTACGCCTCAGACCCTCAACACTCTGCTTAGGTCTCCTTGAAGCTGAAGCAGGAAAGTGCAGGACATACAGTCCTTAAATGAACAACTGGAGAAATTTGCAAGGAACATTTTGTAAGTAAAGAAAAGGATTTACCTGCTCCGCTCCATTTAGTTGGTGGAATTTATCTGAAAAAAAAAATTAAAAAAAAAAAAAATAGAGAAGAATGGTTAACAAAGCTGGCAATGAACTCAAATTTAGGGCTGGGTACCTAAATAAGTCAGAGATAAACCAGGAGGTGTTGCATATAGTTAAAACCTTACAAAAGAAAGGCCTTGTAAAAGCACAGCTCAGGCCTGCACATCAGCCTGCATTCGTGAGAATCAGTCTGCATATCAGCCTGCTCCTGTGAGAACCAATTTGCACCTGTGTGAAAAGGGACTTGTACCCATGAGAACTGATTATGTACCCATGAGACAAAAATGTAAACATCTTCAAAAAAGAAAACCTTCAGCGAGCAAGTACACCAGCAGCTACTAACCCAGGAACTGAGCAGAAAAAAGTTTCTAACCAATTAGAAGGAAACACGATGCTTTTAGACACAATATAAATATAAGTGAACAATTAAGTGGAGATATTTGTTGCATGAAGAAGAGGTGTCCTGTCTATGTCTACTGCAACAAGGAGGGGATGGGGCTGGGCAAACACAGAGGATATTTGTTGACAGTGGGACTGAGCACCCAGAACTTGGGAAGTTGATGGGAGCAGGAAACCACATCAGAGAGAGGAGAAAGGGGCCTTGCACTGTGCTTAGGAGCAGACCTCTTCCTTGTTATCCACAGAAACCTGTGCCCTCCCCTCCCCACCACTCTCAGGACCCCACAGCAGCCCCTCACACCCTGGTGGAAGGAGCCAGCTGGGATTGGGGTCCCTGTTTCCCAGCGGGGCCGGGTCAGGGCCTCTCACCGCGCACGTCAGCCAGCAGAGAGTCCAGGTGCAGCATTAACCTCTCTCTCCGGGTTTCGTACTGGGCAAGTATTTTCTGATCCAGCTGCACTTTCTCCACCTTCACACTCTTAGTGTCCAGATCCAGACTGGCAATCCTAGGGAACAGAGAGTCATTGCACCAGGAAAAAACATCCAGCATCCGAAGGTAACAATTCTTCGCTAGGACAGAGTCTGCAAAGAGGAGAGGGCTTTGCCACCATGAATTATTGGGTTAACAGCCCTTTGTGAAGGTTGAGTTCCAACTGTTACCTACTTTTATTTATCTGGCAATGCTTTTTGCTTACCAGCCTGCACTGGAACTTTCAAATGCTGATGAGAGAGAAGGAGGTGTTTTGATATTTCCCATGTATAAACACAGCCTTGACCTGCTGCAGAGAGACTCTTACTGCTGTAGCAGTGACAGAACAAGAATGCCAAATGCATTCAGTGATGTCCAGGTTTCTGGGAAATTACCTTGATCCCAAGGGCTAGGATGTGACTTGAAGCACAGCTGTAACAGACTGAGTTGCAGCCCTGAGGTACATGGTGATTCCAAATTCTCCTTACAATCCAAGTTTGAACTCAGCTTTAATCTGTGCAAGTTACAGAGGTGGCACCTCAAATTCCAGGCAGATGTTTGAGCCAGCCCTTTATGCAGCTGGGGCCTCCAGTGCTGCTGCAAAGCTGCTTGTGGATCTGGAACTGCTGGTGTGGTGCTGCAACACTAAATTACAGCTGACATTGCGTAGGAAGTGGTAAATTATAAATTAAAGATATCACTTGCAAGAGAAGTGATAATAAATCTTTCTAGCTACCAAGCTTGTCCACAGCTCAGAAACTTGGTGGGAAATGAGCTGGTTACCTCTGCTGCCAAAGGCTGTTTCCTGGGAACTCAGCTGAGGGAGGGTCACCAATGTGCATCCAAAACAGTGTTACTGTAAACTGAACCCTAGGGGCTTCATCTCTGATAAAACCAGCCTTCTGGCAATAAAAGCCAGTGGTTTTCATCAGAAACCAGCCAAAATGAAACTGAAATGCAAAGGGACAACAGAAGGCAGTGATCTCTCCATCCCTGTTAATTGTGTGGATGTGGTGCCCTCTGGCTCAGCTGGAGTAAGGAACAGCTTTGCTGCACAGGGTGGTGGGGTTTGATCCCAATTATCAACACCATATTTTTTCAATGAAGAAAACAAGTGCTATGAAGTGGAACATACCTGTCTGTGACCAGTTTCAGTTCCTGAAAACAGGGTTGCAAAAAAAAAAAAGAAAAAACATCATTAGTGTGACTTTCAGAAAGGTCACCTGGCTGAGAAACAGGCAGACCCATGAAGAAAAGCAGAATACCACTGCTTACTTTGAAGAAGAGGAAAACATCTGGTTGCTCTTTTATCTCCTGCAAAGCCTGAAGATTCTGCTCAGTCTGGTCTCTCTTCTGTTCCATTTCCTTCCTTGTGCTGGCAACAACTGCCAGTTTTGCTTCCTCATTAGACTGAATGTCACTCAGTATCATCGTCAGTTTTTCATCAAGCTCCGTCTTTACTTTTTCAAACAGTTCTTCCAGCTGAGAAGTCAGTGTTTTGGTATTGATCTAAATGAAGAGATAAGAAAAAGGGGCACTGGCTCAGAAACACCACCCTTCAGTTTAGTGTCCCTGCTTATCAATTAGGATTGTATCTGTCCTGGCTTTAGGAGGAAGCAGACAATAAATATTTGCTTAGAATACCTGATTCAATGGAGGCTTTCCAAAATTAATCCTGATATAGTAACGAAGTCAGATGAATTTCAGCTACCAATATGAGAGTTTACTGGTACACACTGAAAAACCCACTTGTAGATATAAATTGCTTTTCTTTTATTAAACAGGTAGAAAACTTTAAAAACACATAATCTTATGTAGAGTCTGTGGGCTGCCAGTCCTGCAACCTGGTCTGTGCAACCACAACACCAGGTGGAATCCCCCAGCTGGTTCCTCCTGTGGAAGAGCTGGAAGGCTGCAATAAATCTTGACTACTGTCAGTTTCTCAAACCACTCTTTCCCCCCTCCTCTATTCATCTGCTTCTAACAGTATAGTTACCATCCCTTATTGCTGGGAAACTGTGAAGGAAAGATTTTCTGAATTAGCAATAATAAGGATACCAACCTTGATCTGATTCTCGCTTTCCCGAAGATCTTCTAGAGCAGTAATTAAATCATTTTTGGATACATCCAGCTGTTTCATGGTGTCAATGAGTTTAACCTGACAGGAGGAAAGACAGCACTGAACTTCCCATCAGGAACAGCTTCAAACCAGACTGGCAGTTTGTGGAGCTGGTGAAAAGGCCATCGTCTCACACATCCCACTTCTGCTTGGCAGCCCTGAACTTCTGATAAGCAATTTGGGGGAGAAAGTTTGTAATTCATGTAACTGCAAACGATGCTTCTGCTAATTCCTGAGGAAGCTGTGACCTGTCCAGAGGGAGCCATTTCCTGGTCATGCACTGGGTTCCTGCAGGGTTTTTGCTTGGGCTCTAAACTGACCCCAGATATTTCAATTGTGAGGCAATGAGTGAGCATAGGAAATGCATTTTATCCCCTCAGTCTCAGCTGATTCTGGAGCACTGAGTGCCTCATCCAGTCAATCCTTGGACACCACCAGGGATGGGGACCTAAGCCTCCCTGGGCAGTTCCTTCCAATGCTTAACAACCCTCTCAGTGAAGAAATTCCTCCTGATGTCCAACCTGAACCTCCTCGGCACAGCTTGACACTGCGTCCCCTCATCCTGTCACTGCTTACTGGGGCACAGTGCTGATCCCCACCGTGCTGCAACACGGACAGCGCCCAAGGAAACGACCCGGAGAGGGAAATCTCCCTTCCCCAGCCCAAGTTCAGTAGCAGTGGCATTCCCGGGGCTCTGTGGAGGAAGGGATTTTCTAATCTCTGCAGGAATATTTCTCAATCCCAGGCAGGCAGCTGGCAGTCCCGGGGCTGCGCCTCAGTGGGGCAGCGGAGCCTCTCGCTGGTTCTGTCCCCACACCCTGAGGGACTGACCCACGCTTGTCCCGGCCAGCCCCAAACACCTTTCCCAGCTCTTCTCCCTCTGCTCAGCTGTCCACACTATTCTGGCAACACACAGGAGGGAATAAAAAGCAAATTGCACCACAGTGCACCAGTCCCTTGCTGGGGCGGAGAGGAAATCCCTGGAGCTGCCCTCACACCCACCCCCATCACCCGTGAAAGCCCCACCAACCTTTCTGCGGCTTTCCTTTCCTTTCCCAATTCCAAGGGAGGGGCCATGGGGAAGGAAGAGCTCCTTACCAGCTGTCTGTCGTGCCCCTCCTTCATGGTGATGACCTTGTGGCCCTTGTGGGCCCCGGCGATGCAGCAGAGAACGCAGATGCACTCCTCCTCTCCCAGGCAGTAACACTCCAGCAGCTTGCCGTGATCCTGGCACCTCCTCTCCTCCGCCTTCCCTGCTCCCACGTCCACCAGGATGTGTTCCTGATGGAAACCCCTGGCGTTGTGTTTGCTCAGATGGACCCGGCACAGGCTGACCTCGCAAACCAGGCAGGTTTTCAGGGCCGGCTGGGGCTCATCCAGGCAATACTCGCAGGGAACCACTTCGCTCTCCCCCTCCTCGGCACCTTCGTCCTGCTGCAGGCCTTCTCTTAGAGCCCCTTGTTCGTCGGAAGTGGTGGCCTGAAAAGCCTGCACGATGCTGCCCAGCTTGAAGTTCTTCTGCAGCTCCAGGTTGGGCCCCAGGCAGGTCCTGCATGTGGGGCAGGGGCTCTGGGAATTCTGCTGGGTTCCCAGCACCTTCTCAATGCACTGCCGGCAGAAGCTGTGGCCGCAGCTCAGCGACACCGGCTCCTGGTACAGCCCGAGGCAGATGGGGCAGGTGAGCTCGGCCTCCAGGCTGTCAGCCCATCCACATCCCTCCCGAGCTTTAGCCATTGCTGCAGCGAGAGCAGAGAAACGAAACTAAAACCAGGGCAGGAGCCCGCCCACGAGGCTGCAAGCACTTCCTCCCCAATCCCTTCCCTTCCAAACCCTCCCTCTCCGAGCCCTTCCCTTCCAAACCCTCCCTCCCCGAGCCCTTCCCTTCCCAACCCTCCCTCCCCGAGCCCTTCCCTTCCAAACCTTTCCTCCCCAAGCCCTTCCCTTCCCAACCCTTCCTCCCCGAGCCCTTCCCTTCCAAACCTTTCCTCTCCAAGCCCTTCCCTTCCAAATCCTTCCTCCCCGAGCCCTTCTCCGCCCCACACCCGGCACAGGAATGTTCCCTCTGCCGGCTCCATCCTTCCTTACGCTGTGGCAGCCACTTTGGGAAGTTTCCCCTCAGTCTCCAGCAGGAAATGCTGCCCAGTCTCTCCTCACCTCCCAGGGCATCTTTGCTTCTGCACTGGATATGCAGGATGGAAAGGAGGGGTAAAGGCAAAAGCTGCTGCCCATGATCGAAGATCACCATTGCTGCTGCCTAGTTCTGTAGCAGTTAATGTTGAGCTGTCAGCTTTTAGATAAAATAAATTGCCATTGCGTTTTGCAAGCTAGTAACGTGACTTTAAAAACATGAAGCCAACACAGTATTTGATAATGCTGAGCAAAAATTAGCAATTTAATGGTATTTCCATTTTGATTAACAGAACAAATAAAAGAGGAGCTCCAGCAGGAAGAGGCAGGGTGCTGTGATATACCCCGTCACAGCAGCCCACAATCCAATTTCTGCTTAGCACAGCCTCTGTGCAAGGATCACAATTTCTAGTCCTGGAGGTACCAAATAACATCTTGACCCTACATCACTACAAGAGCTTCAACACACTCGTGGCAGTGTGGATGGGATACTTCAGAGGGATGGTTCCTGTCTCTATAAGCCTGAAGTTCTTAGCAGGGTGTCCAGCCTTCACAGTCACATCATGAAAAGAGAGTGCTGCTTCTGCCTTCAACACGTCTTCGACCTAAGTAACACACAGAGATAACAGTGAGGCATTTGCAGGCAGCATTCAAACCAGGCACAAACAATTCCAAGCTTCCAGCAGCTCTCATTGCTGGTGTCCTTTTCCCAGTAGCTCTGGCCACCCTGCACATCTGGGATGGCAATGTGTGAACTGGAGTCCTATCCTGGTTTGGGCTGGGATAGAATTCATCCTCTTCCCAGCAGCTGACACAGTTTTGGGTTCAGTAGGGAATAACATTGATAAGACACGGATGGTTTGGCTGTTGCTGAGCAGTGCTTAACCTGAGCCAAGGACCTTTCTGTGCCTCATGCCCTGCCACTGAAAAAAGCACAAAAAGCTGTGAAGGAGCACAGCTGGGGCTGGTGACACAAACTGGCCACAAAAGGGATATTCCACACCGTAGAACACCATGCCCAGTATATGAACTGGGGGGAGATGGCCAGAAAGAGCCAATTGCTGCTCAGGAACAGTGGCTGGACATCAGAGAGCAGGTGATGGGGGAGCAATTGTGCTGTGCATCATTAGTTTTGGTTGGGCTTTCTCTCTCTCTTCCCTACTTACTGTGATTGTTATCATTATGATTGCCATTGAGTTTGTGCTTCATTAGGCTAGTTGGGGTAAAAACCAGAGGTAGATCCAAACGTGAATGAAGAGTTGGATGGAAAACCGAATGCAGAGTTAAACCCAGACCGGGATCCAGAGCTTCCTGTAGCATTACTAAATGAGATAGCTAAAGAGAAAAAACACATTATGATTAACAGACAATTGTGGAGATTTGGAGTCTGCCTCTGTCCTGACCCAAGGCTCACTGTCAGTGAGGGCTGAAGCACCATCCCAAGAGTAGTACCCAGGGAATTCTAATTTCACCAGTTCAGTCGGACAAGTGTCCCACTGTGCACAGTTCTGGGACTGTAGGCTGAGCTTACAAAGCATGGTAAAGGAGTAGAAGTATTCACACAGAAAGAGCAGGTTATTTATGTCCTAAGCAAACTACACCCTACTGCTGCTGTGGTAAGTTCTCAACTTTCCCCTTGAATCAAAGGGATGTCAGAGGTACTGCTATTATCTTCTCTTCATCCTCCCAGAAAACTCCTGGGACTTCCAAGCCTCTTTACCCACAGCCTGCTTTAGCAAGGTGTATCCAAGGCATCACAGCCCTGAATCTCAGGACCAGCTCCCTTTGCTGTAGACACATGTGCAAATAAGCATACAGTGGAATTAGCACTTCTAGAGCTACTCAGTGTGCTTGGTGTCTCACATCCCTTTCTCAAAGATGTTTTATTGACTTCTCCATCTTGCTTTTGACATAGTGAAATGAGCACTTACCTGGTGGTGGTGGTGCTCCAAATCCTGAAGATGGTGGTGGCTTAAAGGAGAAGTCCAGCTTTGAGAGGAATTCCTGGAAAAGCCTCATGATAACATCTGCTTTTGATTTATCCAAAGTAATAGGTGGCTTTGGCACGGTCATGCCATCCATTCTAGGAAGTGGATTGCATTGCCTAAAACACACAGAAGGAATCACAGAACCACAAAACCACTGAGGTGGGAAAAGACTTGAGAGTCCATCAAGTCCAGGCTGTGCCCGATGCCCACCTTGTCCCCAGCCCAGAGCTCTGAGTGCCACCTCCAGCCCCTCCTTGGACTCCTCCAGGGATGGGGATCCAACCCTCTCTGGGCAGTTCCAGTGCCTGATCCCCCTTTCCATGGGGAAATTCCTGCTGCTGTCCACCCTGAGCCTCCCCTGGCCCAGCCTGAGGCCGTTCCCTCTCCTCCTGTCCCTGTTCCCTGGGAGCAGAGCCCGACCCCCCCGGCTGTCCCCTCCTGCCAGGGACTTGTGCAGAGCCACAAGGGCCCCCTGAGCTCCTTTTCTCCAGGCTGAGCCCCTTCCCAGCTCCCTCAGGAATTCCCCAGCCCCTTTCCAGCTCCCTCAGCTGCTCCAGCCCCTTCCCAGCTCCCTCAGCCCCTCCTGGAGCTCCAGCCCCTTCCCAGCTCTGTTCCCTGGCTCCAGCCCCTCCATGTCTCTCCCACCGTGAGGGGCCCAGAGCTGGACACAGCACTCGAGGTGTGACCCCGGCAGTGCCAGCACAGGGGACAGGCCCTGCCCTGCTCCTGCTGCTGCCCCATTGCTGCCACAGGCCCGGTGCCACTGGCCTCGCCTCCTGCCCACAGCCGGGCTCACGTTCAGCCACCACTGAACAGCATTCCCAGTTCCTTCCAGGCAGCTTTCACTGTTCCCCCAGCCTGGAACTGCATGAGATTTTTGTGATCACAGTGCAGGACCTGGCACTTTGCCTCTTGGAACTTCACACTGCTGTCCTTGGCCCATGGATCCAGCCTGTCCTGACCCCTCTGCAGAGCTCCCTGCCTCCAACACATCCACACTCCTGCCCGACTTAGTGTCCTCTGTGAACTTACTGAGAGTGTGCTCCATCCCCTCATCCAGATCCTCAATAAAGACATCAAAACTCAGGGAGAGCTTACCTGGCTTTAATTGCTGAAAAACCCTGTAGAAGACATTTTGAAAGCAGAATTAGCACAGTGCAGGCACAGCCCTGTGTCTCTGGGAAGGGAGATGCTGATAGGTACCTTGGTGAAAAGAAGTTTATCCTTCTGATTTCTCAGAGCCTCCAGATCCTGAACATCACGGCTGGCTGAATCCTTCCTCCTCTTCTGATTATTCATCTCCGTCTGAATCCGATGAAGTTGATGCTCCTCATAGTCACTGAGGACTTTCAGGAGCTCTCCTTTTTTGTGGTCCAGCTGCAGATGCATCTTCTTAAACAGGTTCTCCAGCCTTTGCCTGTGCTGGTTCTCCTCAGTCTATTAAGAAAACAATTTCAAAATTGTAAGGGACATTTTCCACATGAGCTCTCACTCAGAAAAAAAAGTCTGTCTTTTTTTTCTGGGATGAGAGACATAACTAAATGGTGAAGGTTGAAAAAATAAAAAAGTCACACACCAGCCACTCATCACGAGGCACAGACTTTCAAGGTTAAGGAAGAATGTATTCCCCCAGACTGATAAGAAAGTTATGCATCATCTTTCCTCAAAGAAGAAACCTCAAAAATACATGAGAAACCACCCAGGAACTAACAAAGCTTCCGAATCCATGATATGAGGAAGGGCAAAAGGAAATTTTATCTTATTTACCAGCAAGCAACCAGCCCAAGGTGATATGTGACCTATAAACAAACCTTTAGTCCTGTCTCTTGTTTGAGCAGGTTTGCTATGGCTTGATCCAGTGCACCTTCGTGGCGTTTCATTGTTTCCAGAATTCCAGGGAATGCTTTCTACAAATATAACCGGAAGGAAATATCAGGATAGGACTGGCATAATGCACGAGCTCAGCAGTTTTATAGACAGGGATTAAGCTAGATTTGTGCAAGGTTTGCTCATTGCATGCTCTCAGGACGTATCAATAGATGAAGGTTTACTGGGAGGTTTTAACCCTGAACAAATGCCACAATTACAAGCATAAAAAAAGCCAATTTGAAGCTGAAAACTGTTCACCTGCACTAGGCACATATAAAGCTATTTCCCCTGTTGGCACCTTTCTTTCTGTTACTCTCATTAATTATCTTTGCATAAGTGCAGCTCAGGCTCATCTTCGGCTTGGAGGTACACCAAGGACTAAAACCTTGCACGAGTCCCACCAGTTTGGCCAAACTCTTCCCTCAGGAGGGGAAAAAAGCGTTTGTAACATCTAACTGTGTATCTCAGAGGCCAAACCCAGAGAGAATCTGGGACAAAACTAAGAATAAAAGCCCAGGACTGCAATTTAGCCCTGCCCTGGAGAAACTCAGGAGCCGTGCCCTGTGCCATGGGCAGCTCTCTGGGGTTCTCCTGGTGCAATCCATGCCTGTCCCAGCAGCCTCTTACCTGAGCTACGTTGAAAGCCTCCTCCAAACTGATGATCTTGTGCTCCTTGTGGGAGAGGACTGAGCACAGCATGCAGATGCACACGCATTCCTGCTGGCAGAAGCACTCCAGCAGTTTGCCGTGCTCGGGGCATCTCCTCTCGGCCAAAACCTGGGCATCGCACAGCTCCACCAGCACATGGTTCTTCTGGGCGTTGCCACCGCCGTGCTTCTTCAGGTGGGCTTGGCACAGGGAGGCTTCGCAGCTCAGACACGTCTTCACGGCGGGCTGCGGCTCCTGGAGGCAGAAATCACACAGGATCACCTCCTCTGGCTGCCCCGAGCTCTCCCCCTTCTCCTCGCATTGATCTTCCTGCTTTTCCTGCTCTTGGTGCGCAGGATCATCCATGAACTTCTGCACGATGTTGCGGAGGTGGAAGTTGGGCTGCAGCTCCCCGACGGTGGAAAGGCAGAGCGGGCAGCGGACAGGGCTCGGCTGGCTCCGGATCGCCTGCTTGATGCAGTCCCTGCAGAAGCTGTGGCTGCAGCTCAGGGATGTGGGGTCCCTGTAAATGTCCAGGCAGATGGGACAGGTGAGCTCTTCCTTCAGGCCGGACACGAGTTCTGCCCGGGACATGGCGCCGCAGCTCCGGGGCAGGGCTCAAGGCCGGAGGGAGGGAGGGCTCTGCTGGGAAACGAAACAAAACGCGGCAGTGACGAGGAACACGCTTTGCCCCGTGGGCTAAAAGCTGCTGCCTCCTCCCCCTTGCAAGGGAGGGTCAGCCCTCCCTTCCCTGCAGCTCCTTTCCTCTCGGTTCCGCGTGGTTGTTCCGGTGTTGAGAGGAAAAAAAATAGTAATAAGTCGTGTTTAAGTCTTGGGAGTTCCATTCGGTTTACCCGGCTGAGCTTTGTCCTGTGTGCGAGTGGTTATCTCGTAAAGACTGTGAGCCTGAGCGATGCTGATTAAGGAGGAATGTCCTGGCCAGACCATAGCAGTGGGTGAATCCAAAGAGGAGAAATGTTTTTGGAGGCCTGTGATCAAAAAAGAATAATTGGAGGAATGGGATGTTACCCAAATGACCACCCGAGACCCTCAAAGAAACCCTACTCAAATGAAAATCAACTCCAGGAAGTAATTTAAATATGCAAAAAACCCCACAAAAACCCAGGGAGTGTTCAGCATATAGGTATGAGTTTGGGGAAATGTATGGAATATATAAAAGTTCCATAGATTTCAACTGGTCTGTTAGCAAGGTGTGGTGTGTGTAATTGGGAGTTATGCCCCACATGCCTCGGGCTGAAATAAAGTAATGCCACTTTCTAATATTGAAATTACAGTGTTAAGAGAGTTTAATTCTCCATTTTCAGTAACAACAGGACAAAACTCCACCCAGCATCTCGAGGTTGAGAGCTTGGACACTTCAAGGGGAGCATGGCAGAAGGTCCAGCCCTGCTTTGATGGGTCAGCAAATGAAGCAGGAAAAGGAAAACTGGGGAGAATCCTTGTGGGCAGGGAGGCTGGGACAGCTGAACTAGCAACCAGAGAGCAAAAGAACCAAACCTGTTCCCCTGTGCAACACCTGGATGGAGCTGGACAACAATGTGGGCCTGATAAATGCTGAGTGGGAAAGTAAATGCATGGGTTACTTGAAATGCAGCCCCCAGAGCCCCTGGGCAGACCTCGTGTGGCACAAAGATGAGGCTCCTGTCAGAGAGCTCCTTGCCAGCAGAGCCCAGGGCAGGATTTGGTGTCAGATGCCACTGCTCAGGGCACAGGTAGGAGCTGAAACTCCAAAAAGCATCCCAGGATGGCTCAGCAGGCAGCAGAATGAAATCCACACAGTGGGCACGCCACACTGGCCAGGAGCAGCAGCCTGGGGTGTGCTGGCCACGCTGCCAGGTGCCAGCCAGCCCAGGGCAGTGCCCAAAACTGGGCCTGTTCTCAAAAGCTCCCAAGTGACTGATTTTCCCCTGCCACTGTGCCCAGTGCAGGAGATAAATAACACCTCCTCTCCAGCAGCCACAGGAGCTACTCCAAAACAGCACCTGTCTGTGTGAAAAGGAGTAGTTGTATCACAAAGTTATGCCAAAATAAAAAGTCCAGCTGGGATTTTTCCCACATGGTTGGAAGTAATTGCTGGGACCAACAGAATTGTTGAACTGATGTCAACATTCACCAGCAGCTCCCTTCAGACTCTAGGTCTGAATACTTGCAGGAATTATTCTCAATAAACAATCGTATTCAATAAACAGTATCAGTGCTTTGTTTTCCAGGAGGCTGCCTGGGAGCTCAGTGTTGGAGGCACAGGTTGGGCTGGGAGGACAAATATCAGCTCTGGTCTGTCCCTCCCTGCAGACCCTTCCTTTGTGTGCCCCCTCCCTCCTGGGAACCCACTCCTGTGTCTGCTTCACATGCTGCATCCTTCTGCACCACTGGCTGCATTCCCACATTTCCCCCCTCCAAAGTCATGTTTTCATCTGTCTGGGCACTATCACATCACAGTGCCTGATGTATCTCAGGAAAACACTCCTCTTTGGTGGCCTTGAAGCCTGCTGGTTTTGGACCACAGCAGGAATGGGCTTCCCATCAGCTCTCTCCACTCTGGCTGCAGCAGTGGCAGGGATGAGGGGCTGGGTTTGGGGTGGGAGCCTGCTTCCAGATCTGTGGCCAGGCTGGGGAACCCACCCTGGGCTCCCACAGATGTGCTGGAGACAGGCAGGTGTAGAGCTGCTGCCTAAAATGGTACAAAGCAGCAAAATCCAGCAGCTGGCACAGCTCAGCACCTTGCAGAGGTGCTGCTGTCTGGCTGCTGGGATCCTCCAGGCCGGCAGCATCACTGATCCATGGTCTGGATAAAATCAGTGCAACCTCTCCAGCCTGCTGGTTCCTCACAGGGGCACGGCTGGCATGGGGCTCCCGTGTGCCCAGGGGGAGCTGGGCCTGCCCACACCTTCCAAACATCCCTTCCACAGACAAGGACCAGGACACGGTCGTGCCCCAGTTTGGCTCCCAGGGCAGCTCTCCCGATTCCAGGGACTCTCCAGGTGCCATCCTGAGCTGCACAGCTGTTGCATCACCACCTGGAGTCTCATCCACATTTTTTCCTGCTCTCTTACTCCACTCCAGAAAATGTGAGGAGCATGCCCTGCTTCATTCTTCACCCACTCCATCTGGGGAGTTTCTTTGGCGAGGGGTCCTGAGGCAGTGGCACCACTCGAAGTCCAGAAGTTTTTCCTGCATGAGTTTAACTGGGAGAAGCCAGACTCAAAATAGCAACACACAGGGATATTCCCAGGCAGGAGCTGCATCCCTGGCAGCTGGGAAGCTCTGCCACCCCCTTGGCACAGCCCCAGTGCCAGCCAGGCAGAGCAGAACACCTCACCCCAAGCAGACTTGCATTAAAAACTGAAGTATAGCAGCACAAACTTGTTCCTTTTTTTGTTCTTTCCACTTTATAGTATATATGTTATCGTTTATTTATAGGCAGATCACTTCACTATTTACAGTACATGAGCGTAGAGATTCTACAGTCTTTTTGATGTAAACAAGAAACTCCACGGCAGGGGAGTCTGGAAAAAGAAGCCAGTTCTGAAGTATTTACACAATTTAAAATAGAACTTTTATACCCACTGGATAGATATAGAGAATACATTGAGCGATTTGGTTAAATTATCTATGAAACTATAGAATCTGACAATGTAAAAATACAAGAAAACGTTCTCTCATTTTAGAAGGTAGACAGTTAAATCACACTAGAAATAAATCTCTTTTGTTTTTTTAAAAATAATAACAATAATAATAATAATAAAGGAAAGGCATAAGAATCCATGCCATCTCTTAAGGTTAAAGTATATTACATAAATAAGGACACAACAGAATGGAACTGGGGGAAAAATTAAGTGAAATATAAAAAAACCACTATCAATTAAAAAAAAATACTAAAAACTTGATTCTTAATCATAAAGGGATCAATTCTGCTGCTTTTACTTACTCTTCAAGTAGAAAATTGGAGAGTTAAGTAGTACTTACTCAGCATGAGTAAGGGAGGCAGAATTGACCCCTAATAATTATGAGCAGTGTCCTTTTACTTAAAAAAAAAAAAAAAAAAAAAGACAGAATTTAGCTTTTTTTTATAAATAACAAAGCAGATGTGCCCCTTTTTAGGTGAAATTCTTACACCTTTCTCAAGAAATGCATCAATTGAACCGTTCTCTCTCTTTCTCACATGCACTCACACACTCCCTCCCCAACTCCTGCTGCTGCCCCTGGCCCCAGGGAGGGCGAGGCAAGAGGAATGAAACCCCAAAATGAAACCCCAAAATGAAACCCCAAGGCTGCATTTGGCTCTGTATTGCTTGAGATTGTCAGGGATGCACTTAGAACACGACGGGTGTCGGGTTCAGCTCCAACACCGGTGGACTCAAGAGACCTCCAGAAAGAAAAGAAATCCCCCCAGAAAAAGGAGAAAACCGTGTTGATCTGCAATTGTGAAACTCCTGGACAAGGCCCAGACTGAGATGAGGCTCAGGACTGTAACGTGGTGAGCGAGCTGCTGCTTCCTCAAAGATGTGCAGCCCAGGCAGGAAATTGAGGAATCAAGAGAAACCTTTGCTTTGGGGGCAGCATCCATCCTAAAACCTGGGATTGTCCTCTGCATTCAGCCCACACACTCAGACCCGTTTGCTCCTCCCTGCGGAGCCTCAGGGACACGCTGGATTCCAGTCAGAAACCTGCTGCCCCCCCCCCCAAAAAAAATTAGCTTTTCTGGGGCAAACCTGTGCAAAACAAGCAAAAGGGGCATTTTATCAGAAACTCCTCACGCATTCAGCATTTCCCCACAGCAGGAAACAGCTGGGGGAACATTCTATACTTACACACTTTTAAAAAAATAAATCTCCTCCTGACTTATTCCTACCAGAATAAACCCTTTTGCTCCCAGTTTCTCCTGCCCACCCCACAGCCCTGGCCCTCACAGGGGGCTGGGGTGTGAGGGGTCCCTTTTTGAGGGGCACCCACCGTGGTGCCACAGGCTGGGTGGGATGTAAAGGCAATCCTTGGAAAAAAGGGGGGGATCCCCAGTCCCTGGCAGCTGCTGCAAAGCTCTGGGCACCTCTGGCTTCCCTGGCAGCAGGGCCTGGGCATTGTTTTGCTCCTGCCCCAATTCCCTGTCAGCATCCAAATTTTAGGCAGCTCTCACCTGCCCCTGTGCCCAACCCACCTTCCTGCAGACTCGAGCACTGTGAGCTAAAGACACCTTTAGAGTAAAAAAAAAAAAAACAACAAAAGACCCACAAAAATTAAAAATAAAAAAAAAAAAAAGTGGAAATTTACTTTTCACCCAGTCCTAAAAGGTGGGGGAAGCCCCAAGGCAGGCAGCACACAGCCCAAGGGGTTCTAAGCATAGTGCATTAGTCTGGGATAAGAAAGACTTTTCTGGGGAGGAGGGAAAACAAACCATCCCAAGTGAATGGAAAAAAAAAAAAAGGTAAAAACCCAAACCAAAACCAGAAAACCCAACCCCACTTATAGGCTTCAGGCACCACGAAGACCACTTATTGCATCTCTTCCTACCCTAGGGCTGCAGTACTGCTGAGCTCTGTGCAGGACCAGCCCTCCCCTTCCCCAGCACCAGCCTCGGCACCCAGAGCCGAGCCAGGGCACCCAGCCCCGGAAACACCGGGAAATTCTCCATCTGGGTGTGCCAAGGGCAGTGCTTGGGAAGTGACTGAGTGATCCCCTGGAGTGGGCTGCAGCCCCCCCAGCTCTGCACTAACCCTTCCCCTCCACCACCCTTGATGCATCCCCAGCGGGGCCCAGCCATGGGTGCCCCCAGCTGAGTGGGAGATGGAAGAATTCCACTTATTTGCTTTTTTTTTTTTTCCTTTTTTTTTTCCTTATTTTTTTCCTATTTTTTTGTTGGCTTTTTTTGTTGGCGCTTTTT